GTCGGGTGCGCCTACGCATGAAAACGACGAACGCGCTACACATGTTGGGTATCGCCGCGCACGCCGGAGTGAGAGCAATAATTCTAGGGCCAGTATTTTGGGGTTTCTCTAAATTGATGACCTGTGTGGGGGCTTTTAAAGCGTCTTTTATTGACTTTTTAGGGTACTGCAGTTTTTCGCCGTTTCACGGTCGCACGCAATCTGTAACCGGGGCATGTTGGGTATCGTTTTACTCGTTGTAACCTCGTCTTTTATATTTCATTAAAAAAATGGGTAATTTGTTGTGTTTTGGGGCATTTAATTAAATTTGTCACTAAATTTTGGGGTTTAATAAGGAGTTGCGCTAATATTGCGCAACATAAAAATTTTCAACTACCGCCATTTTATTCTATAGGGTCTCGGCATTCGGAAAATATCTCATGTGTGGGGGGTTTTACGTCATTTTCAGGCCTAAAATGTGGAATATAACACGGGTGCAAAAAATGAAAAAAGGGCCTCAGTCATGAAGGGGTTAATAAAAGCCCCGAATCAGAAGACCCTGATACCAGAGGGTGGTGTCATCTCCTGAGGAACGTTCCTGTGATCAGTGACGCCGGGCTTCCTGCTGTGGCTCAGAGCCGTCACAAGGCCAGTGTTCTGTCAGACCAGCCAACCTATCAGATCAGCCAATGCGGTCTCTTCTGATGGCATGCGATCAGCCCTATCGATGAATGGCGGCTTACCGCGCATTCATCGAGTCAGGACAGGCAGAGGATCAGCAGAGTCAGGACAGGCAGAGGATCAGCAGAGTCAGGACAGGCAGAGGATCAGCGGAGTCAGGACAGGCAGAGGATCAGCCGAGTCAGGACAGGCAGAGGATCAGCAGAGTCAAGCTACAGCTGACCCCATACCAGGAGATAGTGGTATCTTCCCCCTTTGCCACATTTATGAGCAGGGGGAGAGTCGGCTGCGCCAATAAGACCATAAAAGGTCTAAAAATGCTTCACTTGTGATGTCAGAAGAGGAATAAAAGTTAAAAAATGTAATAATATAAATCTGAAGAATCGCAGAAGGAAGAAAATATTTTATTTTTTGGTCGTTGATTTCATACTAAGAAAATAAACTTCAATAAAATGAAATCTACAAATCTCATATTTACCACTTTCAGCCAGCAGGCGGCTCGCCCGACCGCCACAGGAAGTCTGATTTCCTTATAAAGATCAGAGGAGAGCTCAGCCGGGTGTTTACTGGAGGTGTATATCAAGGTGTGCTTCTTCCCGGCGTCAGATCTCTGATGACTCATGAGGAAGACTTTTCCCGAACGTGGGGCACTAAGACACCTTAAGGGTTGTGTGGGATCTCTGATGCTTGGTAAGACAAAACTTCTGCAAAAAACCTTTCCCACACTCTGGACAGCAATACTGTTTCTCCCCTGTGTGAGATCGTTGATGTACAATAAGTTCTGCTTTCCGTAGATAACTTTTCCCACACTCGGGGCAGGAAAACAGCTTTTCACCCTTGTGGCTTATCTGATGTTTTTTAAGATTGGACTTCTGTGAAAAACCTTTTCCACACTGAGCACAAGAATAGGGTTTCTCCCCCGTGTGAGATCTATGATGTATGTTAAGATGGGATTTCTTTGAAAAACCTTTCCCACACTCAGGACAAGAGTATGGCTTCTCCCCTGTGTGGGATCTTTGATGTACAAGAACGTCTGATTTCCGTGTATAACATTTCCCACACTCAAGGCAGGAAAACGGTTTTTCACCCGTGTGGCATATCTGATGTTCAGTAACACTGAACATCCGTGAAAAACATTTTCCACACTGCGAACAGGAATATGGCTTCTCACCTGTGTGAGATCTTTCATGTGTTACCAGGTGTGATTTCTGGTAAAAGCATTTCCCACACTCAGGGCAAGAATACGGCTTCTCCCCTGTGTGAGTTTTTTGATGTGTAACAAGGTGTGATTTCTGATGAAAGCATTTCCCACACTCAAGACAGGAAAACGGCTTCTCCCCTGTGTGGGATCTGTAATGGATGACAAGTGCTGATTTATAAAAAAAACTTTTCCCACACTGAGGACAGGTGTGAAGCTTCTCACCCGTGTGAGATCTCTGATGCACAGTAAGACTTAATTCAGAGCTAAAACCTTCCCCACACTCAGGACAGGAAAATGTCTTCTCCCCTTGAATTCCGGCCCCATCCCCCACAGGACGAGGCCGCTCAGAGTCAGAGGGATTCCATGGTCTATCCACACTGTGAAGTCCACCATCCATAGCTGAGCTCATTGTCTCTTCTCCCGCACAATCTGCTGTGATGTCCTCATCTTCCATCTTACAACCTGGAGATAAAGTCAGACGATCCTTTGAGGGTTCCTCCATGGCGTGTCCTGGAAACATAGAAACACATGATGGAGAGATATGAGAGGGTTAGATGACTTCACTCAACATTCCATCTGGATCAGGAGGTCTGAGGGAGCAGATGTTCTATGAGGAGGTCCCAACCAGCCGGGACTCCTCCCCTCTTCAGTCAAAGGGTCTTTGGACTTCTTTGAGGGGACCATTGCCAACTTATTATGAGCTGATATCACTCAGCTCCGCCCTACTCTGGACCAATAACAGAAGAACATATAATGACCCACCTGTGCTGATCTCTGTAGGCGTGTCCTCCTCTATGGATGTCCTCATCATCCCGGCCTCCTCCGTATATCGCTGATCATCCCTCACATACGTCTCTTCTACTTCACCCTCAACTTTCATCTTCATCAGATCTTCACCCTAAACCAACAGAACGGCAGAAAGTCTCATCTGTGACATAGAAGTATTTATGATGTGACATCACATAGAAGATCTCATCTTGTAGAGTCCACACGTCATCTCCACATGTCAGAGCGTTCCATCACTTTATGTTCCCGCCCCTCAACTCCACCCACCTGATCATGGCGGGGGATGGTGAGATCTTCCTGGGTGGGATCCCGGGAATACAGAGGGCGGGGACATCTCTCTGGTGGGTTCCTCTTACTAGGCGGCTCCATCATAATGTCCATGTGTCCCTCACTAAGCTCCTTCATCACCCCGTACTCCCCATCTTCCTCTGTAGGCTCTTTTTTTACAACAATGTTATAATCCCCGAGGTCTCCACTCTAAATATATAATAAAATATTAATTATAACAAACACGCTTGTATATAAATCATATTTATCAGAGATTGTCCATCATCTACCTGATCATGGTGGGGGATGGTGAGATCTTCCTGGGTGGAGTCCTGGGAATACAGGGGGCGGGGACATCTCTCTGGTGGGTTCCTCTTACTGGATCCATCTGTAGGAAACACACACACTGACTGAATACATTGTTTCTATGTGTGTATCAGATGATGGGGGATGTAGGCGGAGCCTCCGTACTGCTCTCTCCTCTTACCCGGTGATGTGAGGGGCGGGGCATTCTCCATCACCACGTCCTTGTAGAGATCCCGGTGTCCTTCTAGATACTCCCACTCCTCCATGGAGAGATAGACAGAGACATCCTGACACCTTATAGGAACCTGACACACACAATGATACCGTCACCACCCAGACACGCCCCTTGTCTGTTCCTGGATCATGTCCCAGAATCCCCGGCACCGCTCACCTCTCCCGTCACCACCCAGACACGCCCCTTGTCTGTTCCCGGATCATGTCCCAGAATTCCCGTCACTTCTCACCTCCCCCGTCACCACCCAGACACACCCCTTGTCTGTTCCTGGATCATGTCCCAGAATTCCCGGCACCGCTCACCTCTCCCATCAGCAGCTCCATCATCTTCTTGGTGACTTCTAGAATCTTCTCCATGTTGGGTCTCTCGGGTTTTAGGGAGTCACATGGGGGCACTGTGATGGTCACATGATCACCAGACTTCAGAAGAGGAAAACTCTGGATGGAGGAACCAATAGGAACATCGTGTTAGAATCCCAGAATCCTCCTCACCCCTCCGGTCAGGTCATGTGACCTCCCAGAATCCTCCTCACCTCTCCGGTCAGCAGGTAGATGATCTCCAGGGTGAGGTTTAGAATCTTCTCGGTCATGTGACTCCGGTCCTCCTCCATCATTGGTGCATTCCTCTATGAAGGTCTCCCTGTAGACGGATAACATTGATATCAGAGAATGATCCGGATTGTGTTAGTTGTTGAAATTCAGGTGGGAAGGATGAGTTCGGAGTCTGCAGTTCTGTTGTCCACACCATGAAAATATCATCGACCTATCTTCACCATAACAGTATATGAAGGGCTGGTGAGAGCCGGATGTGACGTGGGAGAGAATTCCATAATGTGGGGGCAGCCCTGGTGAGGTCCTGTAGACGAGAGTTGGATTTACGGGTGAGTGGGCAGGATGGACTCAGGTCATTTGTGGAACGAAGGGGCCGATTTGGAGGATATCTTCCAATTAGGGATGAGATGTAGGCCGGTGCGTGGTTACGTGGAGAGCTTTGTAGGTGAGGCTGAGAAGTTTAGAAGTGTCTCCTAGAAGAAACAGGAAGCCAGTGACGAGAATGACAGAGGGTGTGATGTGGGAGAGTAGCGGGAGGGAAGGTAGATGGACTGAAGGTGGGCAACCAGGGCACGTTTCAGGCCGATGAGAAGAAGGTCGCAGTAGTCACGTCTGGGAAATGATTAGCGCGTGGACGAGCTTTTTGGTGGTTTCCTCGGTGAGAAGATGGAAATTCGAGAAATGTTCTTCAGATGAAAAAGATACGACTTGGTGATGGAGTGAATGTGAGGGGAAGAGGAGAGGTCAGATTCAAGGCAACGTGCCTGCGGAGTGGAGGAAATGGTAACTCCATCAACCTGAAGAGAGATGGACATGGGGGGCAACCTTAGGGGGAGGAAACACGAGGACTAAAGTCTTAGAGAGGTTCAGATTGAGGAAGCGGGTAGTCATCGATTTTGAAACCGCGAATAGGCAATCGCTTAGGCGGCCCAACAAATTGGGGGAAATCCTAAGTAGATGTGAAATCACAATTTTTTTAGGATGACTATTTTTTTGTGACTATGGAGGAGGAGGACGGACATGATGGGGGGGTTACTGGGTGTAAATATAAATAATATCTTATTACCTCCTCTGCTGCCAGTTCCAGCAATGTCTCCTCTCTGCTTCCTCCTGACTCACCTCTCACCTGGAACTTCCTGTCTCTATCTGACATCACTTCCTGTCCGTTTTCCATAGAGACTTCCTGTCTGGGTATGGGTGAGATCAGCACCTTGTGGAGCTCAGAGGAACTGCAGCCCTGAGGAACCTCTCGCATTGTTAACACGGCCTTGTGCTCTGTGTGTTCTGTATAGACGGGTCATCTCCACCCCACCGAGCGGGATAGACATATATGACTGATAGGGATCAGTGGAGGGATTTCGGCTACTTATCTATCTTGATGAAAACCTTCTCATGTGGCTTTGTTAGCCCCGTGATGCCCCATTCATCCATAGAAGGCACAGGCAGTGGTGGAATGGGTGGCCTGGGGGAATTGCTGGAAACGGATCAGGCCATTTTGTTGGTGGGAGAATTGGCAGGGTGAAGGGTTCATGGTGGCCGGGTCAGGATAAGGCTTCTGATGGGCTGACATTGGTAATGGGGCCGTGGATTGGAAGTTCAGTTGACTAGTTACCGGAGCTGTACAACTCGTATGAACAGGAACAGAAGGCTGAGGAGTAGGGATCTGATCTATAGTTGGTTGTGAGCTGGACTGAGATGTTATGGGTATCAGAGATGAAAGGTGTTATCGAGAGGTCGGCACGGATCGGTGTAAATTATCGGGATGAGGATGACATGTCTAGGCCCGGAGTAGGCGGTTGGACAAACCTCAACTTGTAATTCTCCGGTTGTAACTAGAGGATGGACCGGGTTAGTCCAGCAGGAGGATCTCTTGAACATTGAAGGGACAACACCTTGTGTCCGGAGTAGACCTGAAATCTTTTCTATATGAAGTATTCTGTCCTTCGGCACCCACACTATGGAACTCACCACCGGCCATTGTGCCGGAAACACTCTCTCTGGATGTTTTCTCATCGGATGGAAGACACGTCTATTGGCCAAGACTTATAGGAACACCTGAGGAATCATTCTCCAAAAATCCCAACACCAACCGGATAAGAGCTCGGGGGGAGGAAAGAACTATAGAAATATAATTATTAACAGTCCCCGGTGATGGAACCCAGAGACTTCCACTGTTCTAGAACCTGCAGGATGAGGACAACCTAGGAAAGAAGCCCAAATCCCGGGACTGTCCAGAAAACAAGGCCATGTTCACACTATGAGAGGTTTCTCTGGGCTGCAGTTCCTCTGAGCTCCACAAGGTGGTGATCTCACCTATACCCAGACAGGAAGTCTCTATGGAAAGTGGACATGAAGTGATGTCACCTATAAATAGGAAGTTCCAGGTGAGAGGTTTGTCTGAAGGAAGTAGAGAGGAGACATTGCTGGAACTGGCAGCAGAGGAAGTAATAATTCGGAAACTCTGATACCCCTCAGTCCCATCTAGTGGTGGGAATGCCGTGTGAACAGCTTGTGTCCCATCTAGTCCTGGACAGATGATTTATTAAACCCAATCTACATGAGACAAATCCCACTGGGGGCAGCCCACCTATTAACCCCTCATATCCCCATCCTGATATCATACACCCGGTACTCCACATCATTCTCCTCCATCCCTCTACAGGGAGAACTCCAGAGATCACATGACCGCATCAATGAGGATGGAGGAGGACCGGAGTCACATGACCGGGAGGATACTAAACCTCACCCTGGAGATCATCTACCTGCTGACCGGAGAGGTGAGGAGGATTCTGGGAGGTCACATGACCTGACCGGAGGGGTGAGGAGGATTCTGGGAGGTCACATGACCTGACCGGAGAGGTGAGGAGGATTCTGGGAGTCTAACATGATGTTCCTATTGGTTTCTCCATCCAGAGTTTTCCTCTTCTGAGGTCTGGTGATCATGTGACCATCACAGTGCCTCCATGTGACTCCCTAAAACCCGAGAGACCCAACATGGAGAAGGTTCTAGAAGTCACCAAGAAGATGATGGAGCTGCTGACGGGAGAGGTGAGCGGTGCCGGGGATTCTGGGACATGATCCAGGAACAGACAAGGGGCGTGTCTGGGTGGTGACGGGAGAGGTGAGCGGTGCCGGGGATTCTGGGACATGATCCAGGAACAGACAAGGGGCGTGTCTGGGTGGTGACGGGAGAGGTGGGCGGTGCCGGGGATTCTGGGACATGATCCAGGAACAGACAAGGGGCGTGTCTGGGTGGTGACGGGAGAGGTGAGCGGTGCCGGGGATTCTGGGACATGATCCAGGAACAGACAAGGGGCGTGTCTGGGTGGTGACGGTATCATTGTGTGTGTCAGGTTCCTATAAGGTGTCAGGATGTCTCTGTCTATCTCTCCATGGAGGAGTGGGAGTATCTAGAAGGACACCGGGATCTCTACAAGGACGTGGTGATGGAGAATGCCCCGCCCCTCACATCACCGGGTAAGAGGAGAGAGCAGTACGGAGGCTCCGCCTACATCCCCCATCATCTGATACACACATAGAAACAATGTATTCAGTCAGTGTGTGTGTTTCCTACAGATGGATCCAGTAAGAGGAACCCACCAGAGAGATGTCCCCGCCCTCTGTATTCCCGGGACTCCACCCAGGAAGATCTCACCGTCCCCCACCATGAGAGATGTCCCCGCCCCCTGTATTCCCGGGACCCCACCCAGGAGGATCTCACCCTCCCCCACCATGATCAGGTAGGCGATGGACAATCACTGATAGTTATGATTTATACACAAGTTTGTTTGTTACAATGAATGTTTTATTATATCCAGAATGGAAACCTCGGAGATTATAATATTGTTGTTAAAGAAGAGTATAAAGAGGAGGATGAGGAGTACGGGGTGATGGAGGAGCTTTCTGAAGGACACAAGAATATGATGAAGCCACATAGTAAGAGGAACCCAGCAGAGAGATGTCCCCGCCCTCTGTATTCCCGGGATCCCACCCAGGAACATCTCACCGTCCCCCACCATGATCAGGTGGGTGGAGTTGGGGGGCGGGAACATAAAGTGATGGAACGCTCTGACATGTGGAGATGACGTGTGGACTCTACAAGATGAGATCTTCTATGTGATGTCACATCATAAATACTTCTATGTCACAGATGAGACTTTCTGCCGTTCTGTTGGTTTAGGGTGAAGATCTGATGAAGATGAAAGTTGAGGGTGAAGTAGAAGAGACGTATGTGAGGGATGATCAGCGATATACGGAGGAGGCCGGGATGATGAGGACATCCATAGAGGAGGACACGCCTACAGAGACCAGCACAGGTGACCCACAATATATTCTTCTGTTA